TAAGACTAGTTCCAATGCTACAATGTCAACCAAAATATGTAAACAATACAAGTGAATTTTGGTGTAGGCAATTTATCAAACACTTGGCGTGCGAGGCACTCCAAGTGAGTTTTGCCTTGAGTAAGTGACTCTAGCTTCCTTGTACAATACACTATTGTACTAGAGTTAAAAACAATGTTAATCACTTACTCAAACCAATGCTAACTTGATACAATTGCTTATACTAAAATTACTCAATTATCAAGCAAAAATGAAAGTGCTGAAAAATAAAGGAGACAAAGATTTGTTGAGTTAGTTCCCCCGCTGTCCTCGCTTCGGGGTACATCTGCCCTCAATTCTAAAACTAGAATTGAGCTCAATATAATATAGATATCACATGTTGAGTTGAAACTTTTATACAAGGATAGACAAGCAAAATATACAAACAAAATCTCTGGTTGTTGATGATGCTTTCTCTCCTTGTTCCTTGATTCAAGTTGAATCAAGACCTTCGATTGTTGTGGATAGACCTTCGATTACAGCCCCTTTGTTGAATAACCTTGCGTTCTTCAAACCCCAACCCGACTGATCTCAAACACCAACAAATCGAACCTGAATCTCTCCTACGTAATTCACTGATTGCCGCTACTAGATTGACCGAACCTACCGTTCCTCAATCACCTTCGCTCAGCTGAATGTTGTAGAGACGATTCGTACCAAAAACCCCTCAAATTCGACGAATCTTGAAGGATAAAACCTTCAAGGTTTTATTCAAGAAAAACCTACCCCAAACTCAACCCGAACTAGATTCCCAATCGACGGCTTCAGACGTTATCACCTTCAATAGACCACAATGCACAACAAGAATTGTTGTGTAATTGTTGTGTTGTGAAATGTTGAGGATGAAGATGAAGAGAACTAGGGCACCTATTTCACTTTTCTTGTTCTTGTGCAATTGACTTAATGTTTCAATTGTTGTTGAAGAAATGAGCCAAACTTCTATTTATAGTAACCCAAAAACCAACAGACATAACAACTTTTCAAACTAAGTGAAATTCTTCAACGTAGGCAGAAAAAGCAGCGAGCGTTCGACCATAGCAGGGTTGTGCGTCGATGCATAGCCTGCATTTTTAGACAGATTCGAAATCTCAACAGCATGCGTCGACCATAGGTCAGCATGCGCCAACCCGTGAGAATTGATACTTTTCCATGCGCTGACCATGCGTCGACCTGTGGTCGACTCAAAACCTGTAATTTTGCAAAAATTCTTATTTTTGTGAATTCTATGCTTCTAGATATAATCAATGATCTGCCAACTACATTGGAATCCATATGGCAAGTTTTCTAGACAAGATATGCACACAAGAGAGATGTAAGAAGTGTGATATGCATTGTGCCTTGTGGTGGTAGAGCCGAAAACCCGATTCTTCCATGATTACGTTTTGACATCATCGAAACACAAGTACTTCTGGTATATGAGGATTTGCCCTCACACTTGTTTTTTGTGTGAATTTCCTTGAAGCTCATGAATCTTGTATGAACTGAATACCTTGTTTGAGCTAATGCCCTTCCATAAATCAATGTGAAATTTTATTGATGCTTTTCTTCTTTTACCTTTCATGGATAGTTGCTTCTTTTTAAAATGAATACCTAGTTGCTTATGCATGTTTTGAAAATGATGCTTGGTGAATTTTCTTGAAACCTTTGGCTATGACTTTAATTGATACTCATACTTATGTTACTGCCTCATCATGTTTCCATACCCTAATCGCATATGCTTGATCATTGCGCTAGTTGTTGATAATTGCTTGGCTATTGATGTGATGCATGTGTGTTCCTCTTGTGAGCCTTTTTCAATATTTTAAGTGTGTTAAACATGTTATGATGTAGCTACTTAATTGTATGGATTCTCATCTTACTTGATTCATTTTACCTTTCCATGCTAAGTGATGATGTTTGGTTATTACTTCAAGATATGAATGTTTGTACACTACTTGTTTGTCATGGTCTAATTTCCTCAACCCTAATCTTTGGATTCTTTTGGGCATGACCTATGATGTTTGCAATGTGTGAATAAGTGTTTACTTTACACATCTTTGTTGTTTAGGTCCAAGTTTAGAGCATGTTTTGATTGATGTTTGCCACTTGCGGATTAATTGTTTAATCTTCTTACTTTGTTAAGTACTTAATGGCATGATCTCTATCGTCTTTGAATTCTTTTTTTTCCTCCTTGTATCTTTTTTACTTAAGTGTGTTCGTGTTTGTGATTGAGTTATGTAATGTTTACTTGTGTTGTACCTTGTGCTCACATGCTTCCTTAAGATTCCTATTCCAACTTAATTTTTGATTAAGTTTGGAGTAGGATAGACATTAGGCTCTCAACCCTTTGTATGACAACGTTAGGGTAGTTCCCTTTCAACCTCAACCTTAGGTCCATCTCTTGTATGATGACATTAGGGTATAATTCTCTTTCTCATCTCAACTATAGGACCATTTAACATGACAACATTTAGGGTGGAGATCCCTTAGTCTTTTTCTTTTGCCTTTTGAGTCTCTTTCTTCTCTCCCTTAAGTCAAGTCAAAATACGCAATAAATATGATGATTATAGTACATCACGAGCCTTAAGCACATGGGAAATGATAAGCGGGAGTCTCTCCTTACCTTGTCTAGAGTGCTCTGCTTCCATCCCGTTTTGGGCCGATCTTGCAAAGTATTCGATCCTATGTCATAGACTTTAGTGCGATACACGTCTCAAACAAAGTCAATTCACTTCTTTAAAACACTTGAACAAACTCAAACCATTTTGTCCTTCGGGATTTTCTGACAAACCTTTTCAGAAAGAGCATGCTACTCCCATTCTATTGCAAACAGGCAACGTCCCTAACTACAAGAATGCGAACTTAGCATCGCTCATAAAAGATACTAAGCAACCCGTGGTCCCACGAACTACGAATGCTCTGATTTCTTCATTCTCATATGAATGAAGATACGTAGGTACAAGACGGCGAATTCTTGGCAAGCACAATCCCCCCTTCCACCTGTAGTCCTCAAAACTACGTTCACTCTGACTTTTCCATTGCACGAAGGAATACGGAGGCATAAGACGGAGAGTACCTATTAAGTTTCCTTTTGTATTTTTCTCCCTTTTCGTCTCCACATTCTCGTAGCAAGTAGAGCTTTAGATAAACACACACTTTGATTAGAACAACAAGAGTGGATCCCATTGAATACAACGGGCGTGAGGGGTGTTAAAACCTTCTTCTCGCGTAATCGACTCTTGAATCCAAAATTTGGTTGCGAGACCATGTTCTTTCCCTTTTTTAGGTTTCTTCGATCGTTTCCTTTCTCCTGTCGGGATAAATAACATTCGGTGGCGACTCTATTTTCCGTCGGTTATTTTTTGCATTACGACAATACTCCCATTAGCCACAGGTAAAAAAAACACTTTGCATTTTATCGAAGGTCTTGTGCTTGAGAGATTATGTAATAAGCATTGCCTAGGGCGGTGTCCTGGGACCATTCCTAGGAGAAGGCAATGACATGAGGCCACCTGAAGGGAGGTATCGCCCCGCACTTAAGTCTTCCTCGCTCATGGAAGAAAAAACATGGGATAAGACATGTCTTGGATAAAGAGAAATCAGAGTCGTTACTGAATCACGTCTCATTTGAAAATAGGGATTCAACTATCCACCCTTTGACTAGGTGGGTGGTGGTCTTTTTTGAGGAAACCCTAAGTGCTGGAAACTCCTACAAATACATTACTCCTCAATGTGATAAATGACAGAGTCTAAGCCATACATACTCTTCACTACTCAAAGACCATTACACTCTTAGTAGCCATAACACACTATCAACCTAACTGTTTGCCTTTAACTCCGGCCACCAACAATCCCTCTCACCTTACTTGAGTTGGCCCCTTAAACAACCTCGAAAACCACCACACAAGGTTTTTTGTCGCCGTGAGAAAGCTCCCATTATCCAAATTGTAATATACCTACTGAGGCCTCTGAATCTCCTTGCCCTTGCAGGGGAAACACACACCATGTAGTTTTTCACAAGTACATAATTCATTAATCAAATTTACTATTTTATTAATCAATAAAATACATTACATTAACCAAATTTTGATATTAAAACATGTAATATAATAATCCGTCTTTATATTCTATATGAGGTATTGTTAGTGTGCTTGTTCATATTAGTAATCTATTATTATAATATATTAAAATTGAGTCTCACAGTATTTTATTGACAACTCATTCTCTTACTCGCCACATCACTAAAAATCTGAAGTGGCAGTCTTAAAAACCAAACCTTCTAAAACTTCTATTATTTATTTAAAAAAGTGTAACGTGTCAATTACAAACCTATTTTAATTAAAATACTTCTATTTTCATATTTCATAACTTATCCCTTCTATTCCTCTAACTAAAAATCAAATATAGTGATTAATTTATTTCGGTTGATACTCCATTCTATATATAATATTATATACTTATACAAATTATACATCCACAATGCATCAAAACATATATTCTTATAAATTAGATACATGTAAAAATATTTATTAATACTAGGATTGTCCTTTTATGGTTTTTTCCTTCTATGAAAGATATTTCATTAAGTTGACGACTATGATTACTGTTTATAAATTTTATCTTACTCTCAATTCTTAACTAATACTTACAAGGAACTTAAAATATAAGATTCCTTAAGGTTTGCATAATTGTCAATAAATGAATTGCTATGCAAGAGATAAAAATACTATTAGTTAAAATGCACTGCATTTCGGATATTGACTTTTCCTTTTTTAAAAAATAACATTTCTTGTGAAAGACAATTACGCGGTTTGGTGGTGGCATTTAAAAATCAATTATGATCGCAATTTGCATGTACACGACGGAATAACCAACACTTAACATCTTTTTCACGAAATTATTTCTTTGACATAGTCATTAAACTGCAAGGGGACATGTTAAATTTCTTCTTCTGAGCTTCTTTGAATTCCTTGAAAGATCTTATGGCACAAAAATACGAAGGACGTGCAGTTGGAATAGACCTCGGAACAACGTATTCATGTGTTGCTGTGTGGATGGACCATCACAACAGAGTTGAGATCATACACAACGATCAAGGAAATAGAACTACACCTTCTTTTGTTGCTTTCACTGATGATCAAAGGTTGATTGGCGATGCTGCTAAGAATCAAGTTGCAAGTAACACAGCAAACACAGTCTTTGGTATATTTTTATTCTCTCTTACCACTTCATGTATTTAATGTTATTATTATGATTTTAAATCGAGATTACGATGAATATTGCTTTTGTTTTTCAGATGTTAAAAGGTTAATCGGTAGAAAGTTTAGTGATACTGTTGTTCAAAAAGATATAATTTGGTGGCCATTCAAGGTTATTCCTGGAATAAATGATAAACCGATGATTAGCCTTAAGTATAAGGGTGAAGAGAAGCAATTTTGTGCTGAGGAAATATCATCCATGATTCTCACAAAGATGCGAGAAGTCGCAGAGGCATATCTAGAGTCCGCGGTCAAGAATGCTGTTGTTACTGTCCCGGCTTACTTCAATGATTCTCAGAGAAAAGCCACCATAGATGCTGGTGCCATTGCTGGGCTTAATGTCATTCGGATAATCAATGAACCTACTGCTGCGGCTATTGCATATGGTCTTGACAAGAGAAGTGGATGTGATGGTAAACGGAATATTTTTGTGTTTGATCTTGGTGGTGGAACTTTTGATGTGTCTATCCTCACAATTATAGGTGATGTCTTTGAAGTAAAAGCCGCGGCCGGAAACACTCATCTCGGAGGAGAGGACTTTGATAACAGATTGATGAATTACTTTGTGGAGGAGTTCAAAAAGAAGAATAGAATGGACATCAGTGTGAGCCCAAGAGCCTTAAGAAGGCTGAGAACGGCCTGTGAGAGGGCCAAAAGGACACTATCTTTCGCTTTTGTCACTACTGTTGAAGTAGATTCTTTGTTTCAAGGAATTGATTTTTCTTCTTCAATCACTCGCGCCAAGTTTGAGGAAATTAACATGGAACTTTTTAATGAGTGTATAAAAACAGTTGAAAGTTGTCTTAGCGATTCAAAAATACACATGAGCCATATAGATGATGTAGTTCTTGTGGGTGGCTCGTCTAGGAATCCCAAAGTGCAGGATCTACTGCAAGATTTTTTCAAAGGAAAAGATTTGTGCAAGAGCATAAACCCCGACGAGGCAGTTGCTTATGGTGCAGCTGTTCAGGCTGCTATTTTGAGCAAAGGCTTTAAGAATGTCCCGAACTTGGTGCTTCGAGATGTTACCCCGTTGTCGCTTGGTATCTCAGATGTTAATGACATAATGGAAGTGGTAATTCCTAGGAACAGTTCTATACCTGTCAAAAGTACAAGAGGATTTGCTACTGTTAAAGATAACCATTACAGTGTCTCTATTAAGGTTTACGAGGGCGAGAGAGCAAAGGCTAGTAACAACAATCTGCTTGGTATGTTTATTCTTTCTTGCCTTCCAGGTGCCCCTCGTGGTCAGCCCTTGGACGTATGCTTTGTAATTGATGAAAATGGTATCTTAATTGTTTCTGCTAAGGAAATATCTACCGGAAATACGAACGAGATCACCATAACCAATGCCAAAGAGAGGCTATCAACATTTCAAATTCAAAAAATGATTGAAGAAGCTGAGATATACCATGAGGAAGATAAGAGGTTTTTGAGGAAGGCCAAGGTAATGAGTGCATTGGATTCTTGTGTTTACAACATGAAGAATGCTTTGAAGAATGATCTTTATTTAATGCTTTCCTCTCAAGAAAGTGAGAGGATCAATAATGCAATTAGTGTGGCCACAACTTTGCTAGATAAGAATAACAAACAGACAGAAGTAGATGTTCTTGAGGATCATCTCAAGGAGCTGGAGACCATGTTGAAAAATCTTGTAGTCCAGACTGGCTAGTTTTAATTTTCATTATTAAGATATAAAGTGATGTTTTGCTTTAATGCAACCCTTTAGGTTTATTATAAAGTTTTTATTGAACATGTTATATATGTGTTTGTTTTGAGTGGAAGTGAAATGATAAACCTTGTTCTTAGTCTATATTCTTTTAATTTTATGAGCAATTATTAAAGTGCCAAATACTATAAGAAAAAGCTTTATTTTTTATTAAACTTTCTCAGAAAATGAGAGTCCTAAAAAAAGCATTTTCTAAAAATACTCAGAATTTTCCTGAATGAACTTCAGATAGTTTTCGAGGAAACTCTTTTCTTCGGAATGGGATGGACAACTAACCATTTCAATATGATTAAAAGGGCCACGCAACTGGGAAGGAATTCAATGTAATATCATTTTTTTTATAGATATCTTTAGTTTATAAATAGAGGTTTTTTTAATTATTTCAAATCATTGTTTTGACATTTTTCACTCTCTCTTTCTTCTAATTTTTAGGAGAAAGTTATTTTGCTAATAAGAAGTTGTAATTCTAGAAGAATAGAATTGTAAGTTCATCTAGAAGTTTATTATACACTTTAATTTAACATTTTATCATATTAAAGATTGTTTGTTTGGATTAGAAGTTAAATCCGTAAAAAATTTTGATTTGTGGATTGTGTGATCAAACCCTTATTTATATTCGAAAACTCAATTTGTGTTAAGAGCTTCGTAGACTTTTGGTTAGTCCATGGTAAAACTAAGGTGAAGTTAAAGTTTAATCACATATTAAAAGTTTGGATAAGGTTTGAGATTAACCGATATTAAAATCTCTCAAATTAAAAAAAAAAATTCTCCAAAAACTCCTTACTTTCCGCAATTTATATTCCACTATTTTAATTTGGAGTTGCTTAATATTAAAATTCCTTTAGTAATAGTAGATTTGTTATTTGGCAAGTTAGGTTTAGAATATTTTTTCAAAGTATAAATCATGAATTATGAGAAACAATAATAAATGGCTCGTTTATATCTACTCATCAAGTAAATGATGAAGTATTAAATAAACCTGATTCCCTTTGAACTAAAGAGGGGAAGAGAAAATTTGAAATAGATTTTAAAACTAAGAGATTTACAACAATGTCTTTAGATGATAGTAAATTTTACTATGTTCATCAATGTAAATACCGTTAAGGAAATATGGGATACTCTTAAAATTATCTATGAAGTTTCTCTAAGTATCAAACAAGAAGATATGAACACACGAGGCAAAGAAGATGGAGATGTCAATCTTAAATTTTTCAAAACTTAGAAATATTATAAATTATATTGGAACTTTTGTCACAAACCAATGTCTAAAAGTTAGAAATTAGAAGTTTAATTCAATTCTTTAATCAAAAGATGGGAGCACTCATGAAAAAATCAAGAAAGAAGGAGACTGTAGAGAAATTGAAAGAGTAATTTAATTACTCAAAGATGAAGAAGTATAAACCGGAGAATCATTGTAACACCCCGTTTTATTTAATATTATATTAATATTTTCGAGTTACCGTTTGACGTTTATTTTGCGACGAGAATATTTATACTAACTGATATATCTGTTAATATATTTGGCGACGTATTATTCAGACCGGTAATTATTTTATTCGGTCCGATAATTATTTTGAGGGACCGGTAATTATTTTATTCGGTCCGGTATTTGTTTTGAGGGACCGGTAATTATTTTATTCGGTCCGGTATTTGTTTTGAGGGACCGGTAATTATTTTATTCGGTCCGGTATTTGTTTTGAGGGACCGGTAATTATTTTATTCGGTCCGGTATTTGTTTTGAGAGACCGGTAATTATTTTGTTCGGTCCGGTTTTCATTCCGTTCGGTTCGGTAAAATATTATTCGGACTGATACTTAATTATTTGGAGTTATTTTAATTATTTAGGTTAATAATATTATTTAGTGTTATGAGTAGTATATTTTAAGAGGGGCTAATTGGTAATTTGAATTATGTCTTGCTACTAATCAAAACCAAATACACCTTGTTTTATGTCATAACTCACAAAACACACTTAGAGGCATTAGAGAGAGCTAGAGGGTCTTGGAGAAGAGAAGAAGAACAAGAACACAAAGCTTGGGTTTTGGGTTGGTTGAATCATCAAGAATCATTCCAAATATATAAGGTAAGGGGTTTGATTTTCCAATGCCTATAGTTAGAGTTTGATTTGGTATATTTTGATTTGGGATAAAATTGATTTTAGGGTTTATGAGTTGTGTTGAGTGATTTTGATAGAGGTTAGAAGAATTGATTTAGGTGTTATTGTTGTTGTTGGATTGTTATTGAATTAATTAAGAATAATTAAATTAGAAAAGAAAAACTAATTATATTAATGTTATAAAAAAAAAAAAAAAAGTTATGCAGGAAAACTTATGCAGAAACTCTGTTTCTGCTAAAGTTCTATTTATATTATTATATATATTAAATAATTATATTAATTAAATACAAATATGAAATAAGTTAGCCAATTTAATTTGGAACCCGATTATGTTCTGATTTCTCGATTTCGGTAATTTCGGCGACGGAGCTAGTTACTCCGAATTGGACGAAAATTGACGTGCTAGCTAACTTTGACGTGTAGAACGTCGTGGTGAGGTTAGTTTTTAGAGATTACGAGTTTTTAACGGAGTGACCCAAAATAGGCCAATTTACGGTTAATTCTAAACGGGTTGCATTTTAGTCGGTTTAAGTCGCGTATGGACAATCCGATTGCGACGTTGATAATTATGTTTGATGCCGATTATTATGAATGACTTTTGCGACGATTGATGATGTTTGATTATTTTTCCATGTTTGGAATGAAGTGAATTATTTGATAATGATGTGGTGTGATTAAACATGATGTTTGCGACGGTTTATTTATAATGAATACTTGATGATATGCGATGCGATGATATGTTTATCTTGATGTGGATAAGTATGGCGACGTGGGCTTTATGCCAATCTTGATGCGTGATGATGATGTTTTTGTTGTGTCGTGTTTGTGATGTCGTGTTGTCAAGTCACATACATTGCATTGGCGACGAGGGCTTTTATGCCAAGCGACGAGGGCTTTTATGCCAAAGCGACGATGGGCTTTATGCCAAATGTCCCTAATTATGGACAAAGCGACGGGTACCACATGCATAACATAGTCGTGTCTCATGGAGTCGGTTATGTTTATTTTGAGTCTTTTGGCATTGAGTTTTATTTGATGACTTATGATGAATTGTGATGTTGTAGGATACTTTATTTTGTGATCATTTTTATGTTAAACATAAAGTGATTATGATTTGATACATTCACGAGGATTATGCGACGAATATAACATGGCGGTAAAGCGACGATATGAATTTATGGCGATGGAGTTTATATCTTGTTTTGATATGATTATGGCGAGTATGTGACGAAATTAAAGTGTTGATTCTATACACTAAATGATGATTTAAAGTGTGTGAGATTTGGATATGTGTTAATATATTCTTATTAATCCTATATCATTTATGATTCCAAACTATTCATATATTTCATCATGCCTTTAATTATATGTTTTGGAGTATCTCACCCTTTACTTGTTTCGCCGTTGCCTTTATATTGGTAACGTGCAGGTGATCCGCGAGGATGATGTGGATTAGCTCGAGTCTCTTTTTTTTTTTGAGTCGCTCTGCTCTGATAGTAGTAACACTCGGGATTTGGGCGACGTTATTATTTTGGATATGATAGTTTATGTATACTATTTTATGACTTTATGAATTTATGTATTGATGATAACTTGTTGATGCGTATATTTTGTGAATACTCATATGGTTATATGATGTTAATGATATGAATCGGTATATCCGACTTTTGATTTTTGTGTTGTGCATTATATTGCAAAGTGATGAAAATGAATATGTGATACCTCAATTTATGTTTGGATGAAATTTTGAAACTCTGATTTTATTATTTATTACGAGGGGTTGAATTGGGGTGTTACATTAGTGGTATCAGAGCAGGTCGGTTTGTCCGACCAAGTTGTTGAGTCTTTAGTTGTTTAACAATCAAGTATTGTTATTTGTTGATTCTAATCCTTGTTTATGTGGTGAGCAGAAGTGTGATGGCCGGGAGAAATGCTGGAAGAAACGATGAGGCACTTGCTGCAGCTATGCATGCAATGGCTCAGGCGTACCAGAATCCGCCAAACGCTGACGAGAACATAGGGTCTCGTAGTTTGGCAACCTTTCAGAGGGAGAACCCTCCTACTTTTGAAGGAAAGTATGATCCCGAAGGAGCACTGGCGTGGCTGAAAGAGATAGAGAGGATATTCAGGGTGATGGATTGTACCCTTGCTCAGAAAATCCGTTATGGTACACATAAGTTGACATTGGAAGCTGACGACTGGTGGGTCGAGACCCGTCAGAGGCTAGAGCTTGCTGGAGAAGAGATCTCGTGGGAGGTATTCCGAAGGGAATTCTTAAGAAAGTATTACCCGGAGGATGTAAGAGGAAAAAAGGAGATTGAATTCCTTGAGCTAAAGCAAGGAAACATGTCGATCACTGACTATGCAGCGAAGTTCACCAAGCTGGCTAAGTTCTATCCGCATTATGATGGACCCAATGCTGAGTTCTCTAAATGCATTAAGTTTGAAAATGGCTTACGTCCTGAGATTAAGAAAGCAGTGGGTTATCAAAAGATTCGCGTCTTTGCGGATTTGATTGATAGTTGCAGGATCTTTGAAGAGGATAGTAATGCCCATTATAAGATCATGTCTGAAAAGAGAAACAAAGGTCAACAAAATCGTGGGAAGCCGTATGATGCCCCGGTTGGAAAAGGGAAGCAAAAAGTAGTCCAAGGGCGAAGGACTAGTGGGGGAGATGCCCCTGCTGGTATTGTTTGTTACAAATGTGGGAAGGCAGGACATAAAAGTAATGTTTGTAGAAGTGATGCCAGGGTTAAGGAGAATGAAGTGAGATGTTTCCGATGTGGAGAAGTGGGGCATATAACCCGTGATTGCAAGCATAAGGATG